GGTCGCCGGAGGGGCGGCAGCGTGGGAGCCCGCGGGGCAGCCCCTACACGTCGAGCGAGCGCGCACGCCGCGGCGAGGCCGGCGTGGTGCAGGGCAGCCCCTACGGCAGCCCGTACTCGAGCAAGCACGGTAGCCGAGAGAAACACAGGCGGCGACGCAAGCGCAGCAAGAACAAGGATTCCGCGTCGCTGAAGGGGCATAACACGGGTGAGAGACGCGCGCGTGCGTCGTGTGCCACTCCCACATATAATAGCCATAGAAGGTGGATTACATTAGAGGAGCTTATCAGATTGCTCCTCATTCTTACGTCGTTTGTGAAATTTATAACGTTAAGTTTTTCATATATGTCCAGCCTGTCGTGATTTAAAAATTTTTAACACTTGTATAATAAGATCCATTTTTTTAAAAACATGTAAAATTCTATAGTAAAATACTATAACAACTAGCCAGTCCTGTTCAGAATCACTCCCGTCGTCGTCGTTACGCTCGTCAGGCCAAAACAAAATATGTGTGGTTACCGTTACATGCCGAAAAAAAATAGCGTAGGTAGGTAGGGAAAACATTTTATTTTCTTGAAATATTTTATTTACGAACCATGTCCGAAGGATGTGCGTTGTGCCTTTTGAAGCCGGAAATGTCCAATTCATTTTTTTTTTTTTTTTACTTTAAAGAAAATTGAAAATAAAATGTTTAGGGTCGCTGGGAATAAATAGGGTCTGTCGGGAAACCGTAACCACACCTATATTTTGTTTTGGCCTCATCATGAAACCCCGCTCTCGTCCCCGTTCTCATGCTCGGCGTCGGCGTTGTCGTCTGTTGCAGATCAGGAAACGGTGTGCAGCGTGAAGTCTGGTCACCACACGCGTGACAGCCGACCTTCTGAAGGAGACTGCTCCTCGGATGCCTGAGTCATCCCAGAAGCATGCCGGAAGCATGCCGGAAGCATACCATAGGCATCCCGGAATCATTCCGGAAGCATCCTGGAAGTATACTGGAGTCATTCTGGAAGCATCCTGGAAGTATACTGGAGTCATTCCGGAAGCATGCCGAATTCATCCGGGGAAGTATACCAGAGTCATCCTGGAAGTATATTGTAGTCATCCCGGAGGCATACCTGAATCATCCCGGAGCTACGATGCACAACTGATTGAGATCATCCCGTCACCCACGATTCCGTCGCCATGGTGACACGCTAATGTGGTGGGCGATGCCGCGAGAGGGAAACGATTTTGCACCCTCCGTCGAGGAACCTGATTTTTGCCAAAGAGCCTTTTGCGCATGACATGACTTGCGGTTGCGAAATGCATGTCGTGTTGTCTCCTGGTTGTGTGAGACTGATTGTACAGTGATGCCAAGCTGCGGAGGTGACCGCTTGGACCACGAATTGTGAAGGTAGTGGCACAATTTTGTATTGATTAGATTTGTATCGCATTGTGCTTTTAGTTGGCCACGTTTTTTTTTTTTACATTTTGCATTCTGGTTGTTTCCAGGGAGTATCGTGAATAGGTGTAATTCCGCCCAAGAGGCACTCTGTTTTTGTGAACGTCTCTGCTCTGTATTTATTTCTAGAGTTTGTTACCATATATCATGTTATGGTTTCCAACCTATTGAAAGAAGGAGCAGTCAGTCCGTCTGATGTTGCCTCGTGATTGGAGACGTTGTAAATCATGCATAGTAATCATAAATGCAGAGTGTTTTCGTTGAGAAAGCTTGTGTCGTCTGTGTTGGCTCTACTTACTGTATATGGTTCCACCATGATGATTCTTAACATGAATATGTTTGTAATGATTTGACACAGTTATGTTTACGCGGTATTTTCTTCAACGCTGGGGAGACTAAGTTGTTTCGAAGCTTTTGGCGCAGTGGCTGGTTGTTTTTACGTCTTTATCGGAAATTATTAGTATTTCACATATTACGTTGCATCTGTCCGCTGGAGGGCAGCACCGGGTCAGGCAGCGATTTTATGTCAGGCGTGAAATTGTTCAGGTGATGTGGTTTTATCTATTGAGTGTTGAGGAAATTATTCACGTTCGAAGTCGTGCGAGAATGTTGTGTCTGTTTGTTATTTATGAAAAAAACGGTAGTTTTTTCTCCGTCGTTAGGTTGTGCATAAAAATCGTTACAATGTTCACTGTGAATCTTTTAGTGCTACTGGTTGCCACTATACAACTATACTATAGTCATCACCACTGCTCATCTTCATATCCCCACAGCGTGGGAGCAATGCAGGGTGGTGTATGTAGTAGCTAGTGCTAGCGTTCACTGAAGATGACCGCACTGCCTGTAGTGGCATGTTGTGAGACACAGTATACGTGCTAGCTAGCACTAGTAGCAGTGACTAGCGTTTATCGTGAGCGTGGACGTAGCTCAGGCGAGAAATAAGTTTGTGTTATCCCTCACACCCCCCCACGTATATTTTAAATGCGCAATTGTATGTGTGTGCGCGCGCGCGCACGCGTGTGTGCGGGAGTGTGCGTGAGTGTATGAATACATACGAGTTTTACACCGCTGTACAGATATTACACATTCTTCATCGTCCGTCGCTGTGCGTGTTTTCGTGTATTTATTCAGTGTTTGTCAGCGCACTTGTTTTATTGACATGCTATGTGTGGGGATAGATGGCGCTGATCGTCAGCCGCGGTCACGTGGGAAATCGAGACGTTTTAACTGAATTTCTGTCTTATTTCCTAGCATTCATAATTTAGTTCTACGACCAAGTGTCTTCTTTAGTTTAAAACTGCATGCGCGTGCGTGCGTGCATGCGTTGGTGTATGCGTGTATGTACTTGTACTGTGCCAAACTCTGTCCGAAGAGAGCATAATAGCATTCTCATGTATAGGGCAGGGTGCTGCGAATAGAATGCAAACAATCACAAACAATTCATAGACGCCACTTGTCTCGTATAAATAACACAACATTAACGTTGTGAGCCACGTTTTGTAAAGACGATGCAGATATCAGCTTGTTGCACAGATGAACATTATCCGAAGGAATATTAGTAAAAAAACAACAACACTACTGCCTTTTATTGTCACGCGATATAAATTAAATCAAAACCAATGAGCGAAATTTGTCGAAACACGTCGAATTCCTCCGGGTTTCTAACTTGCAGATACGTGTCATGTATTTGTGGCCTAGGTTTAGCCGTGGTTTTGTTTTGTGAGCACAATGTACGAGGCATGTGCATCACATGTGCAGAATGTAAGTAAATGCTTCAGTTCGTGACGGGTGTCACCTGCGTATAAACTGTCATTTTTGAATAAATTATATTAAAAACGAGCTAAATTTGGTTATTTCGCTTTACTTACGTACTTATACTTACTTTACGTACTTACGTACGGTTATTGTGCTATCTAGTTATCTTTTATTTCTCGCAACTCCCCTCTGCCCTCTCCCATTTCTTTCCCAACTGCCTGTAACTGCAGCGACAGCTACACCGTGACGTTTGAAAACATTTTAGCAAATTAGAAACTATTGTTTCCAGTGAGCTGTCGCACACCACCCGGTTCACATCAAACGCATCATGCGTAATGTGACACGTGGCCACTATTAAATCAGGAGTAGATAATAGAAGAAAAAATAAAGAATCTTCTATTATCTACTCCTGATTAAATCACTACCGGATCTGCAGAGTGGAACTGCAGACTGGAAGAGAAAGTTCATTTCAAAACTAGAGCACTATCTGGAATATCGAGCCTGTAAGGGTTTTACCATAGAAACTCATCCCATCCCATCCCATCTCATCTCATCGGCATCCCATCCCATCCCATCCCATCTCATCGGCATCCCATCCCATCCCATCTCATCCCATGCCATCCCATCCCATCCCATATCCCATCCCATCCCATCTCATCGGCATCCCATCCCATCCCATCTTATCCCATCCCATATCCCATCCCATCCCATCGGCATCCCATCCCATCTCATCCCATGCCATGCCATGGCATGCCATCCCATCCCATCCCGTCCCATCCCATCCCATCGCACCGCACCGCATCCCAACCCATGCCATGCCATGCCATGCCATCCCATCCCATCCCATTCCATCCCATCCTATGCCATCCCATCCCATCCCATCCCAAACAGTAAAAAATAATAAGAAATCAAAAGATAAGACATTACAAATAAAAAATAAAAAATTTAAAAATAATACATATATACTAAAGAGGTAGGTAAAGGGGAATAAAGGAAAAAAAGGGAAAAGAAAGGGAAAATAAGTTCCCCAGCTGGGACTCGAACCCAGAATCCTGGTGTAGGAGACAGATGTTCTAGCGATTAGGCCACTGTGCCATTAAGAACCACCTCCCAGACGTGCTTATTTTGAAAATATCTTTAGTTTTCCTCTAGGCTGCGGAGTTCTATAGTTATGCGAGTACGGACTAATTCGGCTGAACAACTTTATATATATTGTAAGCGGGCAGATTCCATATGCCACGCGGAAGCGATAGCGATACGGGGATATATATATCGTCTTGAATCCTGCCTCTCCATTCCGAATATAACGTTCTTTGATACGTGCCAACGTGACAACGCACGTAAACATCGCCGATCGATATAACCAACATATAATTGCTCGTTATGTCTGACGCCTCGTTAACGTCGTCGGCAGCTGAACGTCGGTCACCGCATGCCTCCGCACGGCTTTACCATCCACCACCGCGAGTACGGCTCCAGCGGCGACTACGTGACGACGCGGGTAGAGGGCGCTGACGGGCGGCGGCGCGAGCTCGACGGTCTCGCGCCGCTCACCGACTACGAGGTCTACGTGGCAGCGTACAGCGCGAACGGGGAGAGCAGTCCCAGCAACCCGCGCTACGGGCAGACTACCGGTGAGTGGCGCCATCTGTAGGCAGTCGATCGCATTAATTGTGCTGCTTGTTACGAAGATTTTGTGATATGTGAAGAAATAAAATATGTGAAAGATTGTAAAATAATAATAGTAATAATAATAGTAATAATAATGATAATCAGATAATAAAGATAAGATTATTAAATCATGGTATGATTAAAATATAATAACTGAGTTAATCTGAGTATAAAACATTAAAATCATGCAATAAGTCAAACAATATATAAGATAAACACATTAAAATCACGTCAGGGTGCGAAATTAACGGGAGTCCGGCGTCAAATACTCCCTGATTTACTGTCGGACTCCCTGATTTGACATATGCAGGAGTCCGTGTGACTCCATGAAAATTCGGCCATACTAAATAGTTCGTTCTAGAGCACGACCTCGCGGAATTACTGTATTTGTTCAGCTAATGTCCAAAGAAAATTTGGCAGACTAAATTTGTGCAACTGCATGAATCTTAAAAATAAGCACATGCGTTATTCTTAATATCTTCAATTTTTAACCTCAGACTGCGGACTCCCTCATTTTGCTGCGGATTCCCTCTTTTTGAGGGTAGGGAGTCCGTTGGACTCCCTTGTTCAAAAGTTTATTTCTACCCCTGTCACGTGATACAAAAACGAGTACAAAGACAGTAACCTTAAACGTAATATAAACTTGGCATATTGCATCATTATTCATGGATGTCCCCAGCATTGCTGCTTGCAGTAAACAATAAGATAAATACATTACATATATACATAATAAAGCATCACCATGTCACATTGTCCTTCCACGTATTTCCCTCTGCTGTCTGCAGTGGGGCTGCTGCCGGAATCTGATGAAGCCATTGGCAGCAGCACGGAAGAGAGCACGCGTCTGCTCATCATCATCCTCGGCACCGTGCTCGGCGGTCTCATCCTCCTCCTCCTCATCTTCATCGTTCTGTGCGCATGGAAGCAGCGCCAGCAACGACAGATCATCATGGGTGAGTGACGTCGCGTGCATACACGGCATTCGCCGGTTCTTACCCACTCTCTATTCTTCTCCATCTTATATTCCTCTTGTATTCCTCGTATATCATGCTTATATTCCTCTTCTATTCCTTGAATATCATGCTTATATTTCCCTTAATATATTCTTCTTATATTCCTGTTATATTCCTATTTAATTGTATCTCTTTTTGATCTCTATTGTATTCGTCTTGTACTCGCCTTGTATTTTTTCCATGTTCTGTTGTTTTGTTGTTTGTTTGGCGTGCTCGTCATTGAGTGATGTCATTGTTTGGCGTGCTCGTCATTTGAGTGATGTCATTGTTTGGCGTGCTCGTCATTTGAGTGATGTCATTGTTTTGCGTGCTCACCATTGAGTGATGTCATTGTTTTGCGTGCTCGTCATTGAGTGATGTCATTGTTTTGCGTGCTCGTCATTCAGTGATGGACGAGAAGATACGGAGCAAGTACGCGGACACGTCGCTGCAAACGTACATGGAGCGTGCCGTGAGCAAGACAAACGGACCCTTCCCCAACGGACAGCTACAGCAGGTAAGCATGTCTGCCAATAGGTGGCGCTCCGATAACATGACGCGCATGAGAATGCTCGATCGAGAATCTAAATTTGGATAAATGAATTGAGTATAAACTCAAAAGCACTAAAATAGCAGTAAAATTTTCAGTGTTTAGATATGAAATAGTAACGATACACTATTGTATATAATGGTTGCATATAATGATTCTACCTAATGATCGTACTTTGTGATTGTATGTAGCTATTATGCATATAATGACGGGCTGAGATCTCGCTTCTTCCCCCCTGCATCTAACGGTCATACGGTGAAACCATACGTAACAACTATATGTTGCAATCATACGTTACGATCGTGCATAAAGATCATACGTATCAACCATACGAACGTCGCTGTATGTAGCAACTATACGTCCAACATCGTACATATCAGCCATGCATAACGACCACACATAACAACCGTATAAAACAGCTATACTTAATGATTGTATGTAACAACCATACATACATAATCATACTTAACAGCCATACATACGTCACCATGCATAGAGAGCGTACGTAACAAGCATACATACGTCACCATGCATAGAGAGCGTACGTAACAAGCATACATACGTCACCATGCATAGAGAGCG